AACCACAGATCCAAAACGCTACGCTCTATAGGCACAGTCTAGGAATCCATGGTTATCGGAGAAACTCAAACTAAACTGTTGGATAGACACAGTCACACGGTCAAAACCAAAGGCAAAGGCATAGCGCGGAAACAAGAAAGAGCATCGATATCATTTCCTCATGTCCACTACATGGTGTGTTCCAAGCTTGCAAGCACACTCAAATTTGTCTTTGAGTTTCGGCTTTCAGCTGCTTGTATAAGCTGTGGCTGAAACAAGCGGAAAAAACGGCTGAGAGTCAGCCACGCCCCTGAAAGTCGCTTGCAGGACATTTTTGGCTGAATGGCTGAATCGAGCTCGGTGTGACCGCGGCCTAATGTCAATGTCCAACAGATCTTGCAGGAGAAGACTGGGATGTTGGCGTCCAGTGTACAGAGAACAGTCATGTTTCCTGTGTCTTTTGCAGCATACAGGATAGACTCATCACTGTAGAGTCCACTAATTCATGAGTTTTATTACAACTTGTGAGACAGCTATTTTGGTCACCCTTTGAGTAAAATCTGATCCTGCAAAATCTTTTTCTTTTCCAAACCACGGAGATGGTTGTCGCCTACAGTAGGGGCTATGAAGTGCAAGAGTCAGTGTATATCGTATCAGGTAGTTTTGGATCCGTCCACCAAATCTAACATGTTCTAGTCGATTTACTCAAAGGCAGCCTTGCTGGGAGCTAGAACTAGAGCCACTTCAGGCTACGAAGTATTGGTGGTGAAGTGGAAGGGCCCATGCTGACATTTGTACGTCAAGTGCTATGCTTAGTGTGACTAGTGGCAACAACGATGGCTTTTTGACGCGTCGGCAATTTTTCTGATTCAACTGCTGTTGTTTGTGCTATATGTGGACACGTGCACGGCCAAGAATGAGAACAAAGAACCTGGTAGGACGGCTCTGCATTCTGAGTACTGTAGTGAATTCTAAGTCCGTGTCACAGGGTTCTATAAATCTTCACGAAAAGTCCGAGTTTTACAAAATTTCGGTCAGCGCCGTGCTTCACACCGGATAAATTTCCGAAGAAAAGAAAGAAAGGTAACTCAACCCATCTGTTTTTGCTTCTGCAGAGTCTACTAAAGAAATTATCAAAAAGAAGCAAAGAAAATTGTTAAATAGTGAAGAAAAGTTCTGGTCCATGGCTGGAATGAAACCCAGTATAAATGAGTTATGACTAGACCCCTGGTATAGAAAAGCCTACTGATGCAAACACAACCACTCCCTATGTACTGTTGTGCACATTGAAATCTGTTTTGAACTGAAGCAGCCATGGGGTGCTGGCCATGCAGACGTGAGCACTGCTGGTCCAGTTTTTACAGTGTTAAAACATGAACTACAGTGTGTGTATGGAAGGTGCCAGCCTTGCTCATTCCACAGGATTTCATTGTCCACAGCGATAACTTCGCCGGTAAGGGAACAAAAGGCGAGTACAGCAGTATGGGAGGCTATGTACGAAGTGCATGCAGGCCAGGGGAAAAGGATGCGCAAGGAGGCAATGTAAGGGAGAGCTTAATCCAAAGGTGTATCCATGACAAATGAGATAGAACACAAGGCCGTCACAGCCGGGGCGGCTGGGGTGACCTCACTTTTGCGGACAATATACATATTTTTTGGAGCCCACTGCAACAAAGCGCGATGATCGCAGCTGAGCGCAAACGTGGCGAATATTGAAGAATCGTTGTCCCCTTCCGTAGCGTCTTCTTGGTTTGTTGTAGAATTAAAGTCTTTCATTGTACCGTAATGTCGCGTATTAAAGCTGATCTCGAATAGAAGCCAGTCGCGCATTGTAGCCGAAATTATCGATCATCATGATGCACTGTAGCCGTATTTATGTACAAGCCGGGCTTCAAAACAAGCGCGCCGTACTGACGTCATCAAGTCCTGGTCTGGCGCACGAGTCGCGACACGACTTCCCATTGTAGCCTAGGTTGTCGGCATTAGGCAAAGGCGGGTGACCGGATCTGGTGGGGGGGGGGGGGGGTCGTTCGTGTACAACAGAAGTATCGTTCCCGGCACAGCTGGAACGGAAACTGGCGCACGTTCAAGGTGTCCTCAAACTTCGTTTTCGTTTCAGCCTTACAAACACTTCGCTCTCCGAAATTGTCTTGTCTTTTTCGTGAAGAGTTACAGTAGTTGGGCAAAGTAAAATGCTCCATATCACTACAGCTAAGCGAAAGCGCTATAACCTAGACTTGAAGCTAGCTGTTGTAAAAACTGTGAAGTCCTCTACTAACGCTGCAAAGGCCAGGGCGCATCACGTTGATGAAAGTATGATCAGGCGCTGGAGGCGAAATGAAGCCAAATTATCTGCAGCAGACGAGCAGAAAACGTATCGAGGTAATCCTCGCGCCAGGTTGTTTAGTGCTGGAAGGAGCGTTTCATTCCAGGATCTCGAGCACCAACTCTTCGAATGGATTGTTGAAGAACGCCAAAACCGACGACGAGTGACGAGAAAATCAATTCGCTCACAAGCGATCGTTCTTCACGGCGAACTGGGCATTCAGCAGCCCTTTGAGGCCAGCAGCGGTTGGTGCAAGAATTTCTTCCAGCGCTAAAACCTTGCCACACGTGTAAAGACCCACTAGGATCAGAAACAACCAGCACAATTGATTCCGAAACTTACTGATTTTCTGGTGTATCTTCGCAAGTACTTCGCTGACCATCCGCAGCTGCGGAAAGGAAGTGTCTATGCAATGGACGAGACCGCTGTGTGAGTCGACAGTGGCACCAACCGAACGGTGGACGCCATTGGATCCAAAACGGTGTCCCTGGGCGACCACTGGGCATGACAAGCAAAATGTTACAGTTGCCATGATGGCAGCTGCAGATGAATCGAAAAGGTTCTGTTCATCGTGTTTCGAGGAAAAGGGAAAACGGCTGAAGACAAATTGCTAGTCACGCGGAAGGATATCGCAGTTGCCTATTCAGGCAACGGGTGGTTTAATAACGATGTTACCGTGGACTGGCTCAAACAGGTTATGGGTACGCCCGCATTTGGTAAGCGTCTCTTGGTGTGGGACTCCTACAAGTGCCACATCAGTGACTTTGTCAAGGCGCAGCGCCGTCAACAGAACATCGACTGCGCAACAATACCTGGCGGATGCGCAGGTTTGCTCCAGGCACCGGATGTTTCATGGAACAAGCCGTTCAAAGCCAGCCTTCGCGACCAGTATGACGAGTGGCTTCGAGTTGGCGAAAAATAACTACACTGCAGCAGGCAACATGCGCGCTGTCACGAAAACCACGCTATGCGGTATGGTCGTGAAGGCTTGGACCAGCCTGTCACCGGACCTCATTGCGAAATCCTTCCTCTGCAGTGGGCAGACCCGGGACGCAACTCCAGCCGACATCTCTTGCTTCAAAGAGGGCCGTCCAGCAGCAGAGGAGAGGCAACATCTCGAGGACATGTGCACTCTGCCTCCTACTGAACTCACTCCGCCTAACATTGGTGATGTGGCCGACGACGAGGTGCAGGATGAACTCGAGCATAGTGCTGTTCTGCTTGGTGAGAATGCCGGTGGTGAAGATCGCGTTGTCACAGGCTCATCATCTAACAAAGATGAAGGCTATATTGAAGGTGACAGTGAGTGAGTGCACCTGTGTCTAATGCCGTCAGCGGTAGTATGCTGGGTTTGCAAAGTTTTACCACATTGGTTTTAAGGCGACGTGGAGACAATAATCTTAATAATGCAATGAATATAACTAAATGCGCACTCATATCACAACCATGGGGACGAATCATGTATTCCAGAACGTTTTCTTGTCACAATTATCAATGGAATTCGTGACTAAAGAGAATGATGAAACTACAATAGGATTTATACACTTGCAGTGGAACAGCGAGGATACAAGCATAGTAAGAAAAATAGCACAAACCTAGGAACAATTTGCACAGGTAATAAACTATAGGTGAGGTGAGAAATGATAGGAAATTCAGCAAGTGCAGTGTGACAATGGACATGCATGTGCAAGTGTGTGTGAGTGCGAATTTACTGGAATAGCGTAAGTGCGATGACATTTTCTTTTTGTTTACAAAGATTTGGATCGCGAATGCGAATGTAGACTGCTTCTAGAACTTTCAACTGCTTGAAACTACTTGCAGAACGAACAACACTGAACCAAGAATCATCATAACTTTCACGACACACGGGGTTAGACAACAAATGCAATTTAATTGCCGATGTATTCTTCTTCTTCTCACCGCCTCCGCCTTCACTTGGTTTCTGACCGCCACCGTCCTTCACACCATCTGCACCATCATCGTCATCATCGTCACCGTCCTCTTCATCATCGCTGCCACCTTCACCTGTCGTCGGCTCTCCCAGCAACTGACCACCGGGTTCATCATCGTCAGTGCACACGTCGTGTTGCCCTCCAGAAAACTCGCCGCGTAGCTCAAGCGCTCCTCCGCGTTGTCCAGCCGTAGGGACTTCATGGCGAGTTCGATGGCGAAGGCCCACTCCTTGAACTCTCTTGTATCTCCACGAAACACAGGCGGAGACTTAACATGGCGCATGCGTGGCCTCTCTCCGCTGGGAGCTTGAGCACGTCTTGGCGTTTGATCTGATCCATCGCACTGACCGAGTGCGATAAGGTGATTCAGACGCTTCTGAATCTCGAATATACCGTAGGCGACTAATGCGGCCACTGCGCATAGCCCGAACACGACGAAAAGAAAAACCATCCTCTTGCTACCAGTGTAACAGTCCAACTAACTTCAGTAGTCATTCTTGGAATAAGCAATGATCCTTGCCATAATGCACTCTTATATACATGAACAAGCAATGATGGACATAACACCTAACAGCAGCAGCGTGATAATAGCAGGTGATAAGTGTATCCTATTCCTAGTGTTAGTAGTAACAGTGAATCTGTTACACCTTTGCTACTTTGTTTTGTTACACGAGTGTGCATATCTTGTTATTCATTGCTGTTGTGTTCATTGCTGTTCATACATTTTCTATGTGTTAATACAGTGAACACGTGGGTGGATTGTGGCAATGAAGGTGAAGTGTTCGTTACAAGTACCCCCAAAACCTGGGATGGCGGTGAAGAGTTCTGCCAGACACTCAGCAGCCACCTGGTCAGTTCTCCTCAAGTTACAGCCTGCAAAGCTATGCTAGTGGGAATACTTGGAAAGGTGACAGTCTATGTCAGCTACACAAGATTGCTTGATAAACTTCACTTCCGCGATGTTGGGAACAATTTAAAAATTTCTGACAATACCGTTACCATCTATCAAGGCTTGGATGATTGTTCCAGTCAATACCTTGGCGATGATTCACAGCCACAGGACGGGCATTGCAGTACATCGCGTCCTATCGTTTGCGGAAGGAATACCAGTAAGATACTAATAATTGGTGTTGTGAGAAAGATACTAATACCGTATGTCCGCACCTTTAAAAAGCCATGGAGTTATATTCGATTATAAAGCCAGTCTCAGTTATAAAGCCATGGGCTTATATTCGATTATAAAACCAGTCTCAGTTATAAAGCCATGGACTTATATTCGATTACTTGGTCCGACTTATTAAAATGTGCGCTTCGCTTCAAAACTCAAGCCTATGTCCAAAGGAGCACCTGTACTAAAAAATCGACCAAGAGACGATAGATAGATAACTACTGTGTCGTTTCTTGGCCTGACCTTCTAGTTTCCATCTCTGCTGGTGTCTCAGGGCGCTTCTTCAAGTGCGTCAACCTGCAAAACGTCGACATTTTTTTCATCTTCTCCAAGCTACACTGCGCTTCCTTGATTTTTTCACTCCATAGGCACGATTTAGACGGTCGACTTCGCCTCCTCCTCGTGCAGTACGACTGCCAGCATGGTGGCTGTAGGTGTTTTCGCCTGACGCTCCAACGAGACTTTCAAATGAGGCGAACAAGTAAACCACCACGCATAAAAAAATCACTTCTCATCACCGTGTGCCGCGCGCGTAGAACTAGTACTACAATGTAGTACTGACTGATCTGTGTCGACATGAGTCATGACTGTCACACAGTCAGCTGCATCAGACCATGCGTGCTCTCCCCTGCCTGTTTCACGAATCCACTGGCCCCGGAGACTGGCGATCTTGTGACGCATCGATACGCATCGATCGCGATCGCGGCTCCGAGGATCGAGGAGTCGGCGAGGACTAGTTCGACTCCGCACCATTCACGCACCGTATTCACCCTTTCTGCGCTTCAGTTTTCCAGCCAGGTTGTCGCCTGAAAGTCGACCTCAAGGGCGGTTGTTTACATCGATCAACTTCTCGACGATCTCTTCTGTGATCTTGATTCGTCGGCCGCCACATCGTGAACGAATGCGAGAGAGATCAGCACAAACTGGACGGAGCGATGCAGGTGCTTTCTGCACGAGTTTCTGGATGACGCGTTTGCTGAACTTACTTGATTCTTCCAAGGAAACAGCGACTGCAGCGATTTCAATCCGCCAGGAAGCACTCAAGAACGATCGCCCAGGAGTTTCTGGTACTCCGTGACAATTCCCCATCGCAGTGGGGTTTTGATTTCAGCACCAGGCCTTCTCTGTGTTGCGCAAGAAGCAACAGGAGTCCTCTGACGACAAAATTTGCACGCAAAATTCTCGAGTCGACTAGGATCCTGAGGCGCTGCCTCCTTTGGGGTTGGAGTCATTTCTTCTTCAACATCACAAATCGACAACTGAAGGATAGTGTTAGGTAGCTGGAAAGTTTGTTCCGTCCTGAGATTATTTGAATTTGTTTGGCTGACGTTCGAAGCGAAACGCACATTCTAATAAGTCGGACCAAGTATAAATCCAGTCTCAGTTATAAAACCATGGACTTATATTCGATTATAAAACCAGTCTCAGTTATAAAGCCATGGACTTATATTCGATTATAAAGCCAGTCTCAGTTATAAAGCGATGGGCTTCATAAATGAGATGATATATATTTTGAAAAAATGAAGGAATACGTACTATGCTAACAAACTTACAGCCCAGGAGGAAGGGTGAACAGGTGGATTTAGATTGAAATTTCTGTGTGGACTTTGACTTTTATGGCATGGCGTAGTGGGTGAGTCATTTTGCATCTACATAGCTAGGAAAGCAGCGGTATTTCAAATATAAGGCCATGGCTTTAATTAAAGGCGCTGACATACAGTAATAATTATAATATCGGCTTACACTCGCTGAACATAACCTTGTCTCACCTTCTGACCTGCCAACAACCCACCTAACAGTAGCCTGTTTCTACCGTGCTCCTTCCCCGTCGACGGATGACTTCTCGACTTTTCTCGACCGCCTCCAAATAGCCCTGCAATCAACTCAAAGGAAGCCCGAAGCCCTTGTGATATCAGGCGACTTCAACTGTAGATATTCCAGCTGGTGCTCAACTGACCAAACGGATGCACAGGGTCTGAGTCTTGACAACCTCTTCTCATGCTATAATTTGACCCAATCGGTAACCTTTCCCACCCACCTCCGCTCGAATGGACTTGGCAGCTGTCTAGACCTTATCGCGAGCAACATCCCTAACCAACTCAACCACATTCAACACCCGGCTCCTCTTGGCGCACAAGACCATGCCGTCCTGCTGGCTGAGTTCTTCTCCTCAAAGTCTTCCCCCACAACAGCCAGCACCTGCCGTAGCCCACCATCTACACAAAAATACAATGTCCTGAGTGCCACGGATAACATGTGGAATGCCATGAATGTTTTTCTCGCAGATGTACCCTGGTCTCAGGTCCTTGCCACCCATTGCATCGACACGGCTGTCTCCGCATTCACTGACATCCTTGAAGGTGCCTTGGACCTATTTATAGGAAGATCCTCACCTCCTCGTCGGAAATCACGCCACAAACCCTGCCCCTGGATGACTCCATCACGGAAAGCAGCTATTAAAGTCAAGAGCGATCTCTACAGCATCTACCGGAAATACCCATCCCCTATAAATTTCAACAAATACAAACACCAACGTAACTATGTAAAATGCCTTTCCAGATCCTGCCATCGCTGCTACATCCACAACCTCCGTGCCACGATATCTCCCACAAACCCTCGCCTCCCATCCCTCCCTGTGCTCATTCGTCAACTGCGAAATCCTACCAGCGCCCGGGTCATACCTTCGAAGATGGTGGGCCCCAATGGTCGAACAAGCACCTCTCCGGCATCCACTGGTAACTTATTGAACCGCCACTTCGTCAGTGCTGGCTTACAGGTTGACCCCGATGCTCCTATTCCCACTATTTACTCCCTACCTCCACCAGCAACTACATTGCACTCCCTGATCATCACCTCATCGACTGTTCACAAGTATATTGCAAGACTGCCTCTGAACAAATCCCTCGGAGCTGATAGGATCACCAATGAGATCCTCAGGAAACTGAGCTACTCAATTGCCCGCCCACTCTCCATTCTTTTTAACCTTTCCCTCTCCTCCGGCACATTCCCGTCACGATGGAAGTCAGCCACTGTCATTCCAGTGTACAAAAATAAAGGCGACAAGAACAACCCGTCTAATTACCGGCCAATCTCCCTCCTGTCCTGCGTCTCCAAACTGCTAGAGAAAATAGTGTACGACCGCTTGTACGACCATATCTCCCCTCTTCTTCACCCCGCACAATCTGGCTTCCGTCGTAAGGACAACACATCCCTGCAATTGTCCCGCATAATCCAAGACCTCAGCTCCCTAAAAGACCAGCGGCAGGTCTCCTGCATCTGTTTCTTCGACCTCTCCAAGGCCTTCGACACCGTGTGGCACAAGGGCCTGATCGCCAAACTTCGTGCCCATGGTGTCTCCGGCTCCCTACTCGCCTGGATAACTAGCTACCTCTTGGACCGAAATCAGTGCGTCACAGTAAATGGAACCTTATCTGACCCCGAGTCTGTGACATCCGAAGTGCCCCAGGGCTCCATTTTAGGTCCCCTGCTCTTCCTCACATACGTTAATGACCTCCCCTATTCAATTCCGAATATTTGCAATATTTGTTTGCAGATGATACCACTGTCCTTGCTTCCTCCCCATCTCACGCCACCCTGTACCCCAAAGTTCAGACCTGTATCAACGACATTGTTCACTGGATGAGCACTTGGTACCTTAAGCCAAATGTGACCAAAACCGAGCTCCTCCTTTTCCCCCCTCCCACAGATCCAGTGCCCATCTTCCACTTTCCCGATGGTCCCGGTCACCCTATCTCTGTAGCGCCCCACCATAAACACCTTGGCATTGTCATAGATTCCGCCCTCTCCTGGTCTCACCATGCTGATCATGTGTCGTCCAAAGTATGCCGATCTGTCGGCATAATGTCAAGTCACTTGTCCCATTTGCCCAAAAATTGCCGGATTAATTTTTATAAATCATACATTCTTCCCCTCTTCACGTACGGCTTCCCTGCCTGGTCCACCATTAACAAAACCCATATAGGTAAATTAGAAGTTCTCCATCGCCATATACTGCAAATCATATTCCGTACTGATCGTTATATCTCAAATCTAGACTTGTATGCTGCTGCATCCACTACCACTCTGCAACATTACCTTGATGCTTCCAAGTGCACCCTGGCACATTCAATTTTCCTTGACCAGCACCCTGCTCATTTACAGTCTCTTAATTGGTTCAATTCAGGTGGCACCACCCGAAGCTGCGTTCGTCTCCCCCTAGCTAGGTCTACCCTATTCGTAAATTCTCCTTTCTTTTCCTCCTACTCCACGTGGCTCCAACTGCCTCCGAGTGTTAGACAAGCTCCAGAATGCCCAAATCCCGTCCCCTCGTCAGACAGCACTTCAGTATCTCCCAGTAAACAAAGTCACAGTCACCACTTCCGCTGCATAGCTCGCTGAGCATCCCATTGCTTTGTAAGTTGCTAATCCCTTCCCACTTTGTGTACGTGCTCTTCATTTTCTTTTTTCTCTTCTTCCGTGGTTGGTCTCACCCTCTCCTCAATTCAATTGGCTGTCTTGACATGCCACGAGGTGCAGAAATAAATAAATAAAAATAAATAATGATTTTTAAGTGGTAACCCTTTTTCTACTGAACTCAATATATGTGGAGAATAGTGCTCTAGGCATGTCAAGGGGATCTCCTACTAGAAGAAATGTCATGTGTTTAGAGAAGAGTACAAGGTTACAAAGAAAGGAAACAAAGAAAAGAAGCAGATCCAACGATCGCGAAAGTCAGGGGTTGGTATGCCATCAATGTAGTGAGTGTATGGGCAAAAGTACTGGAAGAGGGGATGATTGAATTCGGGGAGACAGGTTATAGAAGTGAGAGATGGCGGTAAACAGTTTCATAGCCAATGCTGGCTGTCGAAAGATTAGAATTCCCAATCTCTCGATTTATCAACACAGGTCACAAGTCCGATCTCACCTCTACAGGTGGCACAC